GAGGAGGAGGAGGAGGAGGAGGAGGAGGAGAAGGCGGTTTTCCTAGTGCCCCCTTTTAACGCTGCTTTTCTCTTTCTCTCTTTCCCCCTCACCCCGTCTTCCCCACCTCCCTGTCCTCCCTCGCCCCGCATGCTCCCGGCTTGCCGCCTGCAGGATGAGTTCCACCCGTTCATCGAGGCCCTGCTGCCTCACGTCCGCGCCTTCTCCTACACCTGGTTCAACCTGCAGGCGCGGAAGCGCAAGTACTTCAAGAAGCACGAGAAGCGGATGTCGAAGGATGAGGAGCGCGCTGTGAAGGATGAGCTTCTGGGCGAGAAGCCTGAGATCAAGCAGAAGTGGGCATCCCGGCTGCTGGCCAAGCTGCGCAAAGATATCCGGCCTGAGTTCCGTGAGGACTTTGTGCTGACCATCACGGGCAAGAAGCCCCCCTGCTGTGTGCTCTCCAACCCTGACCAGAAGGGCAAGATCCGGCGGATTGACTGCCTGCGCCAGGCCGACAAGGTGTGGCGGCTGGACCTGGTCATGGTGATTTTGTTTAAGGGGATCCCCCTGGAAAGTACTGATGGGGAGCGGCTCTACAAGTCGCCCCAGTGCTCGAACCCCGGCCTGTGTGTCCAGCCACATCACATTGGAGTCACAATCAAAGAACTGGATCTTTATCTGGCTTACTTTGTCCACACTCCGGGTAGGTCACTCGCAACCTTTTCTTCCCATTTTTATTTTACTTGTTGGCATTTGCTCTGTTATTGTTCCTCTTCTGTCTGACAGCGCACCATAGACCTCACGGGTAGGCTGTCCTGCCAGGGCCTGCATCTCCTTCCCTATGCCTTTCCCCCTTTGCTCTTCTTCCTCCCTAGGCCTCCTTGGCCCTTTCTGACCTTCCTCCTTGGCTTTCCTGCTTCTACCCCATCATCTGTGGAGGGAGGATTCATCCCGTTAGAAAGGCTGCGTGTAGGTCTGAGGACAGGGCCAGGATGCCACCAGAATTACCCATAGTGGTGAGAGTTTGAGACAAGCAGCAGCAACAGCCAAATGAATCATTTCTCTTATTTTAAGTGAGTCAGAAGCAGTACTTGGGGCCAGCAGGGGAGGAGCAGGTGCTGGTTTCACCGGGTCCCAGGAAAAGCCAAGTGCATTTGGCTCAAGCCGGGTGGGCAGCAGTTGGTGGAGAGGGCGGGCGTGTGAAACCCCGGCATTGGACATGGGCTGAATAGGCAAAGAGGCAGATTTGGGGCCCGCATGCCCAGGCAGGAACAGTTTGACTGGGTCCTGGAAGCTTGAAAATAATTTGGTTTGAGAGAGAGAGAGAAACGGAGAGAGAGAGAAATAGAGAGAGAGAAACAGAGAGAGAGAGAGAGAGAGCGCACACGCACAAGCGAGATTGCTGAGCTCTCCTCTCACCTTCTTTTGGCACAAGTGGCCCCAGGAGGGATGTCCGCCCACCAGGCTACTGATCGGGCTGCTGACCAGTCCACTGACCAGGCACCTCTGTTGAGGGCACAGAAGCTCTCCTAGGGAGCAGGCCTGCCAGGGAGTGGCTTGCTGTGGCAGAGTCTTAAACAAACAGACAAATGGACAAGGACAAACAAACCAATCCTGCAAAATCTCTCTTCTCCCTTTTGTGTCCCAAGTGCTTCCCTGGCTCCTCTTCTGTTTCCACTCAGCCTGTGTTTTGGGTCAGGCTGGGTTAGGACTCTAGCCCATGCCTTTTTTTCCCCTTCTCTTCTCCTTTCCCCTTTCCCTTTTTATGATTTCTTTCCGCTTTTGTTTTCTTACAAATTGAAACAGAGATGGCTGGTTAATTTTTAGCCTCCACTCAGCTACGCCCAATTTACTGCTGCCTTTGAAACCTAAATGGGCGGCACTGTGTGATTAAGCAAGGCAGAAGTGTGTTTACATTATGCCCAACCAACTTGTAATGAGAGGGCTAGCAAACCTTCCTGTGTGCATGCGTGTTTTCCTCTCCTCCACTCCAGCGCTTTCCCTTCTCCCTCTCTGCCATGGGAGAGAATGTGGCTTCACTTCAACTCTCTCTCTCACACACACACATACACACACATACACACACACACACGCGTGCTCTGCTCTTCCCAGTGAATATGTGGCTCTGTCTTCCTTCCTGTCCATTCACAAAAAAAAAAAAAGAAAGAAAGAAAGAAAGAAAAAGAAAAGCAACTCCTGATTGCTGTGGTTACCCCTGTTTGGGAAGTTGGGAGAAATGACTGGCTCCAGAAGAAAAACTGGTGGGGTGTAGGGGGTGTGCTTTCAAGAACATGAGCTCTCTTACAGAGAGCCAGCACAGCCCTGTATGTTGGAGAGCCCTAAGGCAGAGTGGCATTCAAGGTCTCTTTTCTTGCTCATTCTGTCTTATTCTAAGAGGTGGCTTTTGTGACTGGCTGGAAGCAATGGACACTGCCCTGTGCTCTTTTACCGCTATGGATCTTTCTAGGCCTGCACTGGCCCTGTGTGACTTTTAGGATCTGTCACAAAGAAGGGCAGTAACAGGTCCTTTTCTTCCTTTGTTTCTTTTCTTTTCTTTCTTTTTTTTTTTTTTTGCCAGTCCTGGGGCTTGAACTCAGAGCCTGGGTGCTGTCCCTGAGCTTCTTTCATTTAAGGCTAGCTCTCTACCACTTGAGCCACAGCACCACTTCTGGACTTTTTTTTTTTTTTTTTTTTTTTTGAGATAAAAGTCTCATGGACTTTTCTGCCCGGGCTGGCTTTGAACTGTGATCCTCAGCTCTCAGTCTCCTGAGTAGCTAGGATTACAGGCGTGAGCCACTGGCACCCAGTTCTATGTTTCTTTTGGGGAAAGAAAGGAAGGAAACAAAAAGTCACCCCTCATTTGTGTGCACACAACAGACCTGACTGCTGTGAGGTAGGACCTAGTGTGTGTGATGAAGGAGACCATTTCCTGACTAGCCTCCTGGGCTGACCAGGCAGGTGTCGGGGGAAGTAAGCCCCCCCCCCAGCTAATGAGATCATTTGTCCAGGAATATGAGTGAATTCATTTCCCGTCGCCTGTCCATGGCTGAGGATACCTCTGGCCAGGCTAAGGTTGAGTAGGGAATCTGAGGACGTGTTTTTGGTCATTCAGGCTCTAGTGTTGAGATAGTGTCAGGGAATGTCAGATTTTTCTTACTGGCATGGCTAGAATTTGAGTGTGCCTTTCTGAAGTAAGTGTAGGGGTAGTGGTACAGCTGGGCCACCTATGGGCCTCATGGCTTGTCATTCCTTGGAGTTGGGTGGCTGGACTTTGGGTGGCACAAAGTGACATGTCTTTCTCCATGAGCCAGCTGGTATGTTAGGAAACACCTTGTCCTTAGCTGAGCCACAAAATGGTGTTGGCATTCTGGCAACACCCCGTCTAAGCCTGTGTCCCCCAGGCACACTTAACAGAGCCAGCAGTATAGTTCAGTTTGGGCCAGGACCCCACTCAGGTGAGAGCTCCCTTAAAACCTGATGAGTGGCAGAGGAGCCCATCTGGGCTGAACCTGAACTGGTGATGCTGGTTTTGTTTTGACAACAGTCAGCCTGACCTGCTGGGGAGTGGGGAGATGTGGCTTCACCACGGTGCCACTGTCACACTGGGCCCTCATGAGCCCTGCCTTGTGGTACCCCAGAAAATGTACTTGAGAGGAAACAAGGGACGTAAGGGTGGCACATACACGAGAATGTTCAGCCCAAGAGCCTACCAGAGGGCTGCTTTCTGCAGGGGTCTCTCTTTGTAGCATCTGTCCTCACAGGGGAGGTTGAGGCAGGTGCTGGTGATGTTCTTTCATCCAAAAGGAGTGTCTTGGAGCAGGGTGAGGGGCAAGAGACCTCTGCTTAAAGAGGGCCGGCAGAGCAGGGTCAGAAAGCCGAGCTAGACTATCTCCAAAATGCTTGAATCAGCTCTCTCAAGGGGGGATTGGTGCCACTAGCTCTTCCCTGATTCCTAGGCCCTCAGTCTTGGCAAAGAAGGAAAACCAGAATGTTTTGGACAATACTAAAATGGCTGGCAGAATGGAACTGCCAGCTTCTCTCCGTCAAGTCCTTCCAGTGGGCCGCTGTGGAAGCAGTCTGAGTTTTCAGGAGGTGGCCTTTTCCTTTATCCAGGAGCTTCAGATGTCATTGGAGACCCCTCCTGCCCCCTCACGGTCACCAGTGCCAGCAGCCACTGGAGTCAGAATCAGGGCCAGCTCTGGGCTTTTAGAAGGAGATCCAGGTCAGAGCCGTCATCTCTACAGAGAAGGACTATTGAAAAACTGAATCTAGCACTGTTATTGCACCCAAGAAAAACTCTGATTTCCCTCCCTCCCTTCTCCCCTTCCTTACTTTCTCTCTCCCACTTTCTTTCATGCTGTACCGGAGTTTGAACTCAGGGCCTTGAGCTGACAATAGGCTTTCTTGATGCCTGCATGCCTCCTCTAGTGTGTAGATAAAGGGTTTTGAGGACTTTATCTGGCTTTTAAACCTTGCTATCTATCTCAGCCTCCTGAGCCACGGGTGCCTGGCTTTCTTCACTATTGTGTATAACTAGTTCATGTTCTTGTCTTCCCAACAAGCATCATGATTTCATTCTAGTTTGTCTGAATTGGGACCTAGCTAAGGCTGATCATGAATTGCTATGGTTGGTCCATTTCTAAGTGGTCATTGTCTTTTTTTTTTTTTGCCAGTGATGGGGCTTGAACTCAGGGCTTACGTGCTGTCCCTGAGCACTTTCACTCAAGGGTAGCACTCTAGCACTTTGAGCCACAACACCACTTCCAGTTTTCTGGTGATAGGTTGGAGATAAGAGTCTCAAGGGCTTTTCTGGGTGGGCTGGCTTTGAACGATCCTCATATCTCAGCCTCCTGAGTAGCTAGGATGACAAGTGTGAGTCACTGGTACCCAGCTACTCTGTTGTTTTTATAGTCCTCTTTCCTCTCTCCCTGGTCTTGATTTCTTTTCTGGCAGTTTTTTATATTGTTGACAGAACCGAGTCATTTGTCATGTCTGGTTTCCTGTGCAGCCTCTGTAGGCGGTGCTGCCCTGGGTGGGTCAGTGGCTTCTCTAGCAGGACCTTGGCCTGCCACCTCCCTCTGTTCCTGGCCTCACCTGTGGCAGGAGACGAGTTACCCATCTCAGTAAGTTCACGGAGTATGTTTTGAGCTTCCCACTCAACACAGCACTCAGCATGAATCCATTCCTTATCCGTGATCTTTTCAAGGATGGAAAGAATCACTGCGCCATGTCTTCCCAGCTTAGGGGTAGCCAGTGTCCCCCAAGCCATTGCTTGTCTGAGGGCTCTGGTTTGATGTATGGGAGGGGCCTCTGGTAGCTTGAACAACCCTGCCACCCTTTACCATGGCATCCATGCCCTCCTATCTCAAGGCACAGAAATAAATGCCACTGGTCTGTGTCTTGGAGGCAGCGCCATCTGGTGCTAGGGCTGGCAAAGACCACAAGGGCCGAGGAACTCACTTAGAACAGTAACAAAATATATGGATTGTCTTTTAACCCAGCAGAGGGTCCCCCTTAGAGTATCGACACGTAATGTCACCATGGTACAGTCAGCTTTAGTGGCTGTAACATCCTTGTGTGTTGTCTAGGTTAAGGAAGTCTTCCAGCAGTGGAGCCAGCTCATAGGTCAAACACTGGCACACTGCAGACCAGCAGTGGATGGCAGTGGCTATGGTTAGTATGGTTAGGATTTGCCAGCACATC